GCTGGCAAACTACCTACAGGAACTGGACGCCGACGATGTGGCCTACAGTAGATACTTCAGGTGGAAGCAACTGGGTGAATCGGTTAAAATGTTTAAAAGTAAGACGGCGCTCTGTAGGTTGTGCGAAGCATTGCACGACGCGAATGCACCTGTGCAATGGTACGACCATATAGACACCTGGTGGAGTAAAACAGACTGCGTTGCTCCGGACAAAGACATTGCAGACAAAACTGACAGGCAAAGAGATGGAAATTGGAAAAGAAGGAAGGCAGTGAAAAATTGATGCATGCTTAATGAATAGATTATTGTTTCTATGCTAAAGTATGGAGAGGTAGGCGCCCAGTAATTAATTAATTGATCGCCCTAGTTCCAGCTTTACTATGAATGGTTGTTCTCGTACTATCACACGGGTTATAAAGCAAATTTACCTTTCGTTGAAATTTCGTTTCGGATATACAGCATGTGTCTGACTTTTATATTTTTATATATGCATATGTTGCAATGATAAATTATTGGAAACCAGATGTTTTACAGATAATTAATTAAACACTACAATTAACTTGTTAATTAAAAAATTAATTGAGAGTTTTGAAACAACACTAATACAGTGCTACTACTTAGTTCTGAAATTAACCTGCATATCTCATGTCCAATATAAAGATAAAACGTTAACAAGCACGCCTTGTGCTCATACTACTGCGCATATGTATATAAAAATCGAATTTTAGTAGTTCTTAAGCGTAAGGCCTACAGTTTAATCGTTTTTAATTTTTTTGCTATATGCGCAAGTTCATTAGCTTGAGTACATGAGTATTAATCGGTAATATTTAATTTGGGATATTCAGCGTACCGCTGAAAGCCGTAGGCTGAGCAAATTCCTAGGGGTGCAAAATTTCATGACTCAACTGTGTAATGATGAGCGACGGGCGCAGCTCTTGATCGACGTCCATAGTGTGGTAGGGGTGGGTCTGAGACAAGGCGTTCACGGATAAGTGACCAAAAAAATCACGTTAGTGTTATGTGAGATTATAAGCTAAGCTTAATTTTTTAATTTTGCTCCAAAATCTAGGAGGCAGCTGCCCCCATGCCCCCCACATGCAGGCTACGGCCCTGAACTCAGTATTAATACAGTGGCACTCAGGCTATACCGTATTGGACACCAGTATGACCTCATTATTATATAATTGGACACTACGTTTGTGTATTTTTAGACGATTACTC